GCTTTTAACATCTCGGCTAATAAGATCTTTAGAAAAAAATTCCCAAGAAACTGATTGCAAGCAATTTTTAGTAGCATGACATAAAGAAGAATAACGCCCTCTTAATGTAGATTTAATTATTTTAGTAGCATCTACTTTTGTTCCTATTATTGTAAAATAAATATATAATTATGTCACTTGCAGAATTGTAAAACTGACCTTTTTTCCCAGCACATGAACATTCAACGTCAGTCAAAATTTGGTTAGTTAAAATGCATTCTTTTGCATCTAAAAGTGACATCATGATTCTCTTCCATGTCATATCAGGATTATCATTAAGACAACGGTGAGCTACGGCACTCATGTAATCAATTGGGCCAGCATCCTTCCCTTCTCCCTGCACCATCTCACTCTGTTTGATATTACCAATGACTTCTTGTGTCATGTTAGGAAGACAACAGACAAACTGTTCCCAAGTACCAGCAGTAAACTTTGAGCTATTCAATAACTCAACCAATTCATCTTTTGTTGGCTTATCTATTATTACGTATAATAAACACTATGATACATAGTTCATCAAAAGCCTTACCTGTAAGAGTGGGTCCAGGATTAAGTTCCACATCTCCTGATATGAAGAGGAGGATAAGAAGACAAAAAATAGACAAAACAAGTCTAGGGCCCTTTTCCTGTACAGTATCATCAGTACTAGCTCTACCAGTTCCACAGTAACTGCTACCAGTACTAGTACAAGCACTGGGTTGTCTCCAATGGCGGGAACAGTTCCAGGATCCTATTCTAGTTCTCCACTGACACAAATCAATCATGATTGAAAAACAGTGAAAAGAAGTTGAACTACACAAGCAGTACAAGTAGATAAAGGAACAAGGGTGGATTGTGTAGGAGTACCTAATATGAGAAAATGCCCTACTGATGTACAACTAATTGCATGGTAGACTATAGTCTACCATTTACAATCACAGATGTTTTACATTTTTGTACTTTTTTTGCTCAACAACAATTGCTATAAATATGAATGGTTTTATTCTGATGCTGAAGGACTTGATTGTCTCTCCTCCTCAGAAGGAGCACTTCCATCAGAGAACTCTCCTCTTCCTCCATCTCCTCCTCCTCTCCTTCACCTTTATCAGAACCACCTCCTAAAGAATAAAATAAAATAATAATAAATATAATAGTCACCTAGTATGAAGATGACAAATGTACTGGAGTTCAAAATTACTCATTTTTGTGAATATTCAAATGCTACACTACAGTGACATTGTCATTTTCAAACAAAGTTTTGAACATTACAAAGAATATTACATTATGTTTAAAAAATGTACAACATAACAAAGGGAACAAGTCTGCCAAGTCACACAATAGATACGGAGAGATGGGTGTAGTGTTATACTGCCAAAAGATGGGAAGGATGGATTGTGTGTGGTCAGTGTATTATGTGTGCAAGATTACAGTGAACAGGAAATTAAAAATATTAACCATGTCCCACCATTTTTGGTCAAAATGAAGATATGAATGTTTTAAACATCTGTTTTGCATGTAGTGGTTAGTAGTATTATGTATGAGACTATAGTGAACAGGAAATTAGATAAATTGACCATACTCGACTGCCAATACCATTTTTGGTTAAAATGAAGACATGAATGTTTTAAACACCTGTTTAGCATGTAGCAGTGTACAGTTAGACTAATATTGTATTTTCTTTTCTGATCTTATTGGTTTACATCTAATAGCAGTAATAGTGATATTAATAGATATTCAATAAAATAAATTAATTCTATTTACTTTTACGTGGAGGAGGAGAGACTGAGGGAGAGACAGAGGGAGACCTTCTCTTGTGTTTCTTGTCTTTTTTAGATTTCTTACTACTCCTCCTCCTCTCTGGACTAGGACTGTAGGAATAATCCCTCACTCTATCCTTACGTCTGAAATAATAAAAAATAAATAATAAATAAAGCATTTTATTCTACCTTGACGATAATTTCTTCTTGGTGAATGAGATCTTGAACGACTTCTTGATCATGAGTGTCTCCTCCTATCTTTATCAGGTGACCTATAAACACAATGACAGTCAATATGTTGCTATGGTTACCAGTGATGATAGGAAGACCGATGTGAGTGGTAGGAGTGAAATTTTTGCCCAAATCAGCTCAAACTTGCTACATAGCATAAGGACATCAATCAAAAAATGTAATAAAAATTGGGGGTCATTTTGGAGCCATTTTTTGGAAAAAAACCATGGGCTATAGCCTTGGGTAATTTAACTAATTTTTAAATACTGGCCCGTTTTTAAAAATGGTCTTAACTCGAAAATTTCTTATCGGAATTGACTACACAGCATAAGGACATCAATATGTATCAGAAAATGTAATAAAAATTTGAGGTAATTTTGGAGCCATTTCTTGGAAAAAAATTATGGGCTATAGCCTTGGGTACTTTTCAGATTTTTGGTGTTTTCTTAAAATGGCTGTAACTTGAAAAATTGAAGTCGGAATCAGCTCAAACTTTCTACACAGCATAAGGACATCAATATGTATCAGAAAATATAATAAAAATTTGAGGTGATTTTGGAGCCATTTTTTGGAAAAAACCATGGGCTATAGCCTTGGGTACTTTTCGGATTTTTGGTGTTTTCTTAAAACGGCCATAACTTGAAAAATTGAAGTTGGAATCAGCTCAAACTTTCTACACAGCATAAGGACATCAATATGTATCAATATGGAATAAATCATGGGCTTTATTGGCCACATGCTACACAGCATTAGAACATTAATGGATATTAGAAAATATAAGGAAAGATTTTCTTCTTTTCAATTTTCATGAAATTTGGCCCAATTTCGGAGCAACTTTAAAAATTCATAAAAATTTAATTTTGATCGGAATGAACTCAAACTTTCTACACAACATAAGAACATATATCAAATAAATCATAAATCATTATGAATGAACTCAATAAGTCATTTGTGGTGTCCCCAGTAGACTGGTCTGTGGAGTGGGTAACAGAGGACCAGAATTAACTCCACCCACTTGCTACTGCTACAGCTGGTGCTGCTAAAGACATTGAGTTAATGGTTCATTTGGAATCTCTTCGTCAGAGACAAACATGGAGAGAGAAAGTCATGAAAGA